GTACAAGTTGGAATAGAATTCTCTCAGAAACAAAAGATAAATATGATATTTTTTGTCAATTCTTTTCCAATAAACGGGAAATTTAGCAAGGCAATTTTCTACAAACAAGTTGGGCAAAAAAATTAATCAACGATTAATGATCACATTCCAACTTTAGTTCTTAATCATTAAATAACTTTCAATAAATTCCTGCTTTAGTCGTTAGCTGCAGTGAATGATTAAATGTCTTTTTTTTTTCTTAATTCTTACTTCAATTGTTGTCATTAATGATTAAGTTCCTTTCAGTTTCAATCATCAGTTGGAAATAGATCTTCAAAATAGGTAAATAGGAATAAATTTATTTTCTCGACTGGTAAATAATACAGAATTTAGTAAATAGTACAATATACTTCTTTCAAATATTTACATAATTTAACATATATTTATATAAAGAAATAGTATTTCAAATATATATCTCAATACTAATTCAAACAAATATTACTCAATAGTAAATCATACAAATATCACTGTGAAATAAGTAGTTTATTTAAATACGATAATAGTATTAAATACAATAAATAAGATAAGAGTTTATTTCATTGCGAGTAAGCAGTTTTGAAATTTCATAGTAGATTAAGATAGTAGTGGATTTTTATCGAAAGATGAGTCTTTTAATTACAAATAAAAGTTTTGAAGAAAGTAACTTTTACATATTATTCACTTTAAATAAAATAGTACATTTCTCAGGCATATTATCTTCTATCACAAAATACAACTTGCAAAAAAAGTTTTTCCAAGTAAATGTTAATTGTTAAAAAAGTTTCTTGAGTATTTGTTTATAAAAAATATATATAAAAACTATATATTCAAACATAAAATGGAATCTTGACTTACGAGTTATAAAAAAATTCATTAGTTTCAAATCTTTCTTGTTGGACGTCCAGAGCAGAGTATAGTTACAAATAACTAAATGGATATTTCACTTTTACGAATATCAGTTGTCAGTAAACGACAAAGATGCTATATATGTTGTGTTCAGCTGACATAGTCTTTTCTCTGTCTTTGCAACCATACATGATCCATTTTGCTTCTATAAGGTTAATTTAATGTTTTCTTATCTGTCTCTTACTACAGCAAATTTTCTACCAAATTTCACCATATATCAATTTTTTATCATGCTTGCTAATCATTTTTGAATTCCCCACATCACATTCTGTAGTTATATGTTGTTTTCTGCATTTTCACTATTGAATTGGTCAGTATCTTCACTTCAACCTTTTTCTGAAGAAGTTATGCTGTCATCTATTGCTGTGTATATATATCTTGCTTCATGGTTTCTTTTATAACTTCTGGACTCTCCTCTCACATTATTGCACATGTCCGTAGCTCCGTTGTCTGAAGTGCCAGCTGCTATGTAGTTTATATTTAGTGCTGAGGCAATTATTCTGTTCTAGGAATCTTTTCCCGTTTTGAATCCTTTTTTGTTTTCAATGCTCGTCCACACGTGTGGCATTTATCAGTCGTATGTTTGTGTTGGTCAATAGGCCTTTTGTTTTGTTGACTCCCTGTATTAGATATCAGCGTCTGTTCTTTAGCCAAGTTTTGTTCTGCCTGGGCCACATCCGCCGATTTCTGATGCTGGTTCAGTCTTCTCGCGTCTTCTTCCAGCAATTTTGCCCTAAGCTCGTCGAAGGTTGGTAATTTGTCTCTGGACTGAATTGCTATACTAAAAGACTCGTAGTCTGCAGGCAGCGACAACATTAGCATTAGAATATATACGTTTGGAGGTAACACCATGCCGGCTTTTTCCATTTTTTCTATCTTATTCGCGTAGTCCTCTAAATATTCAGCCATATTTTGATCTGTACATTTTCTCTTTCTGAATAATTGTGCTAGAAGACTGTATTGCCTCATCGGTGCCTGTGATTCATATAAATTCTTTAACGACTTCCATGCCTGTTGCGATGTCTCAGCATTCTTAATGTGGATATATTGATTCTTCTTGATATTTAATATTATTAAATCGAGCGCTTTCTCATCCTTTTCCCTCCACGCGACGTGATTCTCTTCAGTTCTTGGCACCAGGCCATTCACGTAGTCCCACAGATCGTTAATTCGCAATAAACTTCGCATTTCTATTTTCCATGATTCGTAATTCGTGTTATCTAACTTGTTCGAATCGTGTATGCTCACGTAATTCATTTTAAATGAAACTTTTGTTGCACTTACTTTTCTTTTTCTCTATCTCTTCTTAGAACTGTAGTGACATGAAGGGTTACGCCTAACCTCACTTTGTAGATGGGCGTGTAACCTGTTGGGAGAGTCTTCGTCCGTAAAGGGAACTTGCGCGTGGCGCCAGCGTCGCGTGCACTTGGCGACAACCGCGCATTTCAAACTTGTTCTTTTCATTGTCAATTTTATTTTATCCTGTCGTCGATATGGGAAATTTATTTCGATTGGTCGTAATAGTTACATTAACATTAACATTAAATCTGAAGTGAATGTATGGAAAAACATGTTTCTTCTATACGCATTTGTAATGTTTAATTTTTTTAAAACTTTGGACAACAAAATGACTATAAGTATCATATTTTTTATATTCACATCAGAATTTGAATGAAACTAAAGCGTTCTTAATCAAGGAAAAAGAAACACCGAGTAAGAAACGTATCACGAGAATAACATCGTCTCCGCTAATAGCGCGGCAATCGATCGAAGTGCGCTTGCACTCGGTCGTTGGCCGATATAACTCGATTTGCATGAAAATTTCAGGTGTGCCAGCGGTATTTGCGTGAGCGGTCGATCGATTTCAATCAGTCGTTCTCTAGATTTGCGTATTCGGGCTCGAGGATCGGCGCGGGGATCAGTTGGTATATGCGCGGTTTATATCGGAAGTTCGATTTCGCTGGCTGGCGCGGTGCCAATACTCGTCGAAGCAGCCTTGAGCAACAGCGTCATAATCTGGAGAAGGTGTTCCGGGTTCATCGAGTTATCCCGCTCGGGTAATTTTCCCATTACGCGGCGCGAAAATTGCGCGAAATTCTCGGCCGGCCCGGCGAGTAAAGGGAAAGTTTACGGGCTTCCACAGCGGCATCCGCGCCACCAATTTCAATCTTCCTTCGCCCACGTGGATAATATCTGTCACGCGGATCGCCGGATAAACTTCGCCGCCCCGGCCGAAAAGTTTCCCGACTCCCGGAAATATATATCGTGAATTACACGCCTCGCTTCCTACCCACAACGTTTCGAACAGCGTACTCCACGGATTTATTACCTTTTCGTTTCTTCTTTTAACTTCCTCTTTATTCTTTTTTTTTTTTTTTTTTTTCTTGAACCTTTCAAGCATTTCATTTCGTTTTGAGAACTTCCGCGCAACCAGCGACGAGAGCAGAGTAAGTGCATTTGCTGTGAAATTGAAGTTACAACAAATGCGACGAAAATTCCCCAGTTGTTTCCTTTTCGATCGTATTTTATTGTAACATTGTATTGTTTCATGGAAAATTATGTACAATTGATGAGAATTGAACGTATTCTACGATGTTTAAAATTGCGAATACGCAATATTTTGATTCATACTCGCCATCGAACGAAAAAAGAAAAAAAGTGCCGTATTTTCACGACGTA